ACGGCCGTACGGCGCCGCAAGTCTGGAACGCGCCGGCGCTCCCACAGCCGCCGACATTTTCGGGCTCGACCAAGGCCGAAAGACGCGCTTTTATGCGCAAGTACCAGGAGTATCTGGGGCAGATCAACGCTCTGCAGTGCAATGGATCGCGTCCGTTCGCGATGCCCGTGAGTGCCTGCAAGGACCCGTTCTCGAAGCGCCGGGTCGCGCTGTTTGACTTCAACCGCGACCACCATTCCATCACGAACGATGTGTGGGTCACGTTGTTCAAGTCAGCGTTTGAGGAAGACCCTCAAGACCTGGACGTTTTGAAGCAACGTCTGCAGCGAGCGATTCGCTTCGATACGAAGATCTTGGACGCGGAGGCCCGCGTCGGTCGTATTCTTGACGAGCTGATGCGCTCGTTGGAAGAAGACCGTCAGGAGTGGGTACTCCATCAAGAAGGCAAGATGGTCGTCGAGGTCATGACGATATCGATCAAGCCGGAGTCGCTGAAGACAGCGGTTCAATATTGATATTACGCTGTATAGTTAAAATGACTCCGCGGGCACTTAATAGCCTTCGGTCGCGTACTAGCTGCGTTGGCAGCTAGCGGACTTAACTACTTGCAAATGTAGTTGTGGCGGTTCCAGGGGATAAGGGTGCTTAGGCCGCTGGAGGAGGTATCCCTGGGTCCGGAGGCAGGCGTGGTGGCCGAAGTGGAGGGTCGGCGTAGCCTACGCGAGGGGGGAGGGCGGGGGGTAATGAGGAGATCCTTCGAGAGTGCCATTGGAGCGTCTTGGCTGCAAGGTGAGCCGTGCGGGCACGGATGCGTCGATCATGGCCCATGGGGGCGGCATCATGGTTGCGGCGTTTGAACCGGATGTTGTTGTTTACCTCTGTGAAGAGGGGTAGTTTCCCTGCGGTGCGTATGTGGTCCACATTAGTAGTGCATGTAGATTGCCAGTGGCGGCGAAGGGCGGCCCTGTGCGCCGTGAACAATTGAGTATGGAGGCGAGGAGCGTGGAGGTGGGTGAGGGCGGCTGCCCAGGCTCGTGTGGTGTGTGTCATGGTGGGGAAGGTTTTCCAGCCGGAGGTAGCTTGGTATATGGCTGGAAACTGTGTTGTAAGGTATGCGCGTGTGTCAAGGGCATATTGGTCGTAAGTGGGGATGGAGGATGGGACCTAGTGGAGGCAGTGTGTGGGGGCACTAAGTAGTCGTGGGATAGCTGCCATGGTAATTTCTTCTGGGCGGAGTTGAGTGGTCGGGAGAGGCCGACGTAGCCAATGGATAGCGTCGATTAATGTTAGTGCTGATGTCCTGTGCTGCTGGGCAGAGGTGAGTAGGACTACTGTGTTGCCAGTGGTGATGAAACCAATGTGGATTGCGGTAGGATTGCCGGAAGCGAGTTTGCCCCAGGTTGGGGTAGGGGTATGGTAGATGGAGGAAACGTGGGGGAGTTTGATCTGACCCGGGGGAATGGTGAGGAGCCATGTTGTTTGGAGCTGTTCAACCATTACATGGCCGCAGGAGCCATTGTGTACGACAAACCAGGGTGGGCGGTGTTTGGTGAGAAGTAGCGGCCTGTATTGCCGTGGATAGGAGGCGCCACCAAGTGGAGGTGTATGGGTTGTGTGTGGCATCAATCCACCAGTGATGGTTTTTTGGGGGGCAGGGGATTATGCAGTGGGAAAGTGTCCAAGTGGGCCCTGAAAAGTAGCACGATTGGGGCCGCCCATCCACTGACCAAATCAGAAGTCGCGTGGTGCAAGCAGGGGGGTGGAGCGTAGGGCGGTGTGATATAGCCAGCGCGGTAGTAGGGAGCCCGGCTTTGGGCACTGGTTAGATTCCCAGGATAGCTGGGAGGTGGCTAGCATGAGGGATTCTGGTCGGGGGGGATCCAAGGAGGCGGTGGGCGAATGCGAACGGGTAGCGAATGGCGACGGTGTACTGTGGGGTGGATCCTATCCACTGACCGCAACCTCCTGAAGGCCAACATGCACTTATGTGTGGCGAGTGCCTGTGGAATAACTCAGTGAAGATGACTATCGCGACCGCATCACGGAAATCGTGGGACAACCAGCAACCAAGTGGACACCCAGACAAGCAGGCATGTTGTCGAGCGCTAGGTGTTGACCCTCATGGAGATGTGACCAGCCGCCTGGTATCATTTATGGAGCGGGGTATATATCATCAGCTCAAGAACCCTAGTATGATGAAAACATTCGTGAAAGGGTAGCAGCGCGTGTCACACCAAGCTACCTACGTGACCGAGTGAAAGAGCAAAGGAAGACCGTGCCGGCCAACGACCGGGTGGCTTTTGCGAACATCCTGCGTCAACAGCGATCGAACCCAGCACGCTGACATGGTTAATCAGCAGAGAAGCAGCTATGGTTCAAAGCGTGTCCGTGAAGAGGACGACCAACGACGCCGGATTATAAACATGCGAAGAAAGCCAGTCCAGCTGTTCGTGACCAACAGGAATTTCGAGGGAATTATCCACGTCCCCCGGGTGGATACATAAAGCCGGAACGAAGTGCGGCGGTGTGGTCCCCGTCGACCCAAAAGTGATCGGGGGACCCATCAGCCACGAAGTATGGACTGCCAGCGAACTCGCGACCAAGAGCAGATGACCGCACTGCCCAAGCTACATGCAATGCCCTCAATTCGAACTTGGCCGGGATGACCGCGGCATGCTGTGCTTTGTTTGCCAGCAGCCAGGGCATATGGCGCGGGAATGTCCCAACAAAAGACACGGGGACTTTGGAGACACAAACTGGAAGAAGGAAAAGAACGCGGTTCAAGGCGCGAGAACGCAAGGCGAACATGCAAGTGAAGAGTATGAAGGCGCCACCACCGCCTACCATGTATGACGACGGACGGCTGAACAACGTGCAGGAAGTTCCTGATTGCCCTGACACCGGAGCAGACCAGGACATCATGCCAATGGCCATGCTCGACGACCTTCAAGTGTTACAGCCCCAGCTTGTTGTCAAGTTGGCAACGCCATTTGTGGAACAGCGTGCCACCAGATGCCGTTCAAAGCCAGTTCCTACGTGGACCTTACGCTAACCATGCCGACGGTCCGGTTAAGGTAACCGGCAAGCGCCGCTCCTACGTGGTTTACGATGGGGACGAGTTCCTCGTCTCGGACGATACCCTCAAGTCCATTGGCATTGACATTGACCGCATACTGGAACATATGGTGCAGTATGCGGTCAATGTCAATGCCAATGGACTTGAGAGTATCGTCCGTAGGGTGGATGATGATGGCGATGACCTGGAAGAAGTCGGTGCCGATTGCGTGGAATTGCCCCAGCGATCGGCCGTCCGAGCCGCGTCCTTGAAGGCAGTGCTACAGTACCTGTAGACAAGAATGAAGTCGAAGAAGCCCTCCAGGGATGATCGACGGCGCTGTCGATAACGGATTTCCAATGGAACATCTTAAGTGTTTATGGGATGTGCTCAGCAATCATGACATCTGGCGACTCATGTTTGACGGGTCAGACCCATAGGTGACACAGGTGAATCCGCTGAAGGTGACCCCGAGGGTGGATGTGTTTCATGTTGATGCAAACCTCCTTGAGGTGAGGTTCCTCAAGCTGCTTGCAGAAGAATTTGTCGAGGCGGGTGTGATCAAGAGCATGCAGAGTGCGTGGTGCAGCCCGGTGAAACCAGTCCAAACCAGATGGGCGCAAGTCATTAAAGCGCCACGTGTTTACGACATCTTGGTAAGTGTGGAATTCACTTTGCTTCCCCAGCTGTTGTTAATCACGTGGGGCGCTAGTTTACACTTGAATTTTTACCGGTCACATCCGTGGGGCACAGCATCCATTGCGCATACCCAATGAGAGCCGCTTCAGGACATTTGAAGGTGTTGCACCCGCGGCAAGCAATCCACGTGGCTTCGGGGGCTACGCCTATGCCGTTTGGCCAACAGCTGAACCCGCGACGTGGATGCCATAGCCTTTCGTGTCGATGGGGGTGCGGGACTTGTCGGTGGGTCGAACCAGCCGTAGGTGGATCGCCAGTTGCCCTTCAGGTCGTCGTGGGTGTGTATTGCGCCACCACACCTTGCCCATAGTTTTACCTTTAGCCCATACATCAGGGGTGCCGATGAGGTTGACATCCATTCGTTTGCGACGCGCGTGGAGAATACGAGTCTCCTGTACTGCTACTGTACTGCAGTCATCGTACAGTACATAGAGTATAGCAAGGTGTTTTAGTATAGGGTCTACGGGGTTGAGCACTGTAACCGGTAGCAGGAGCTTACGTAAAAGCTTCGTCGATGAGAAATCGCCCAGTGGTCTCAGGGTTAGGGTGGACAAGCGGCCCGTGATACCTGAGTTGCCATGCTGCAGTTCACTTCCTCGTGTAAAAACTTTGAATCGGGGGGTACTACTGTAGTATCACACAGTAAATGTATGACCCCAACGCAATGGACGCGATCGGAGTGCATAATTGTTGCTGGAACCCTCGATTTGCTACTAACGTGGCCGACCATTGATAGACCGAATGACCATAGATGGGCCGACACATTACATCCAATGAAAACGTCAATCAATTCTCATTGGACAAAAGGCAACCTCTTGACAAGTTTTACCTATGTGAATCAATGGATGGAAACTACATTACATACTAAAGGTTCTTCAATTTTGGAATTGATAAAAAGCCGCCAAGAACGCCATACACGCAGATCACCTTGGACAACGCCCTCGATGAAGTGTTAAGCAAACAACGCAACACATCAACGGCAGCACAAGTCTTTGGAATCCCTCAACAGACGCTTCAGAAGCATTTCGCGAAAGCTGCAGCCGGCGTCAACGAAATGTCTCCCTCCCTGGGAAGAGTACCCATTCTCCCAAGGCAGTACAAAGAAGATTTGGCTATTTTGATCGTCGACATGGAGCGCGAAGGGAAACCAATCGGCTGCCGTCAAATCGTACAGAAGGCTACCCCAATACTCGATGTCGTGCAAGATACAACGGACAGGATGAGCCTTACACCTAGGTGGTACAAACGATTCCTCCAAGGACACCCTGATCCCAAGACGTTGAAAACCCTCAGCAAGCCACAACGCTGTTGACAAGTCTGCCGTGGAGGACTTCTTCCGTGAGCTGTCTCAATCGATGCCTCTGGTTGACATGGATCCATCACGCGTGTTCAATATGGACGAGACAAGCTTCTCACCGTCCAAGACATCCAAGAATGTGTTGTTCAACTCACGTCGACGAATGTTCACGTCGAAGAAGCAACGACTTGCACTCAGATACCCCGTTTTTGTCACACACTAAATATTAAAAATGTAAATAACGAAGTAAACACGAACTTTCACGAAAACCACATAGAAAGCAAATGGGCTTCCAGCATCAGTATTCGTTGGGGATGATCCCAAGCGAGTATAAACACGTATTAGGTTACGTCTCTTGAATATCATCAGGCACCCGCATGGTACATGCCTTCCGGTACTATACATAGATCTTCCGTTGTGAGGACTGCACCGCAATGTTTAGTACTGTAAAAGCATCTGCACTGGTGCCAGAAGTTCTCAGATCCCAACAATTTTATTGGGCGACTTACTGGAATTCCAAAATAAACGTTCGCACCGGTACCAATAGCCAGTAAAAAAGTTACTCGGCCCCACTACTCCAACAAATATTCCAGTAAATTTGTTGGAGTTTTTGTTGGAGTACTGGAGTCCAGTAAGTCAACTGACCAATCATATTTATCTGTGGCTCGATCGGTTCATGGCTTTGTTCCCCATTCCAAGCAAAACAGACAACGAAGGAACGCTCCCGAAACTCACAAAGGCAGGTGCAGCTGGGTCACACATGACTGAGTGCCTCGCTCGATCCAATCGTCGGAAACGATCAAACTGCAAGTCATTTCTACGCCGAAGTAGCTGCAGCCTACAACAGCGGTCCCCAATGCACACAGAGGTAAAGTGAATGTCAAGCTGGTTTGCTACATGAGGACAACGGTAAAATTTCCATTACTATAGAACTGATGACTTCCTTCTTCTGCGCTGCGACGACTACAGTATAACCCACACAGGACTATAGCGATGACAGCGTCATCACCACTATTTTCGCTCTTGGAGTCCCATGCAGCCGAATCCTTCACGAAGCAAGTGCAAACTATTTTACTAAGTGCGGTGCGAAACCAAAATGAGACCAGTATAACTTACCCTTAATGGCGCCTGTAACTCGCGTATCGGAACAAGTAATCTGGATAAAGGGGTCAAATTTACTGGTACCGGTGCAGATGCACTAAGGTCATACATATATGACAATATGAATTACATCAGCGACACCCGATGGGGACACACGGCGGCGACACGGACACTAATAATACCTCATAAACCAATCATTTCACTTGTGCGGATCAACTTACAGCTGCGGAAATCTACATTGGGACACACGGCGGCGACACGGACACTAATAATACCGCATAAACCAATCATTTCACTTGTGCGGATCAACTTACAGCCGTGTGGGTGCGACGAACACATTTCTTAGAATTTAAATAGCCGGACGCGATCGGCAAGTCATGGCGTATGGATGAACGACCAAGCTGGAAGTTTTATCGCTGTACTTGTCCCCAAAATCTTCAGTTATTGGGACGTCCGAGCGAAATGAGGACAAAAACACCCGAATACATCCCCAAATTATCCGTAACTTCAATGGTACCATAATTGTAACATGTTTTGGGGGTAGGGACATCGATATAGGGATCCCCGTTGTAGATGCTCTTTGTTAGCATTTACTAGAACCAGTAACACATAAAAAACAGTTTAAGATAACTTCACTAACTGTAAATTAGGATAACTTTGTATTGCCCAAACCCACCTCGTTATTTGTTGGAGTCAAAACCTCTGTCATGTAATGCGAACTCTTCCGTCTCGTTGATGAAATGCCAATTCAGTGTAGAACCTGCTGATAATAATTGTTCAAGATTGGGCATGAAGTACGCTTGTCCATACCGGCCACATTGGGTTTCATCTGAGGTTGTGTCGAGTGATAAACTAGTTCCAAATCAGAAGTATATACTGGCATTCTACTCCGACGCCTCCATAAAAGTTAGTTTTTACGTTATCCGAACAACCAAACAACACAAGCAATTTCATGCAGCCGTCACAAGTACAAGTACTTTAAAACATAGCCGTCGTGTCGTCATTCCTTCGTCGCATGTCGCTGTCTCCGCCGCGGCGAAATACATGCCTCAGCCGACACCCTTGGCTTGACTTCACCCACCGTGCTTGTACGAGAAATTGAGGAATGAAATGTAATGGCTGATGGGCTCTACTGTAGCACTGCACTTTGATTGAACAAAGAAAGCTTACATACACCGCCCTGATTTTATATTACGTCGCTCAACTAAGAAATATACAACTTCCACCTTGATTCTACATTACCAATAGTTCAAGTACAAAAAAGGACGACTTCTATCGGGATTTGAACCGGGGGCATCGACATTTGAGATATTTGGCAACTCGTGTTTTTCGCGTTCCCATTCCCCTTCCGGATTGTATGGCAACGGGAATGAGAATGCAAAATTGACGGTGTCGCAACTACGACAGTCAAACATAGAGGTGGTTTTGCACATTGGACTTTGAAATTATTCGCCCCGAGGATCAAGACCTTTCTCTGCGCGTGTACTGTCGGCTCTGCGGAAGAAGCTACGATGTGACACCCATGTGCTCAAGCTAGAGTGAGGGCTTGGCATTCCAGTGGAGAGGCTACAACTCCTAACTTCAGGTTTAATCTGAACAACATGCGCGACGCCGCTGCTCTGCAATCAGTATTGACGTCGCAGTGTCCTCCAGTTGACATTGCTATGTACATAAATAACTCAAATGAGAAGTTCAATGGCTTTGTCAGAGGTCCAGTTCATCTCTTGTTCGTAAGACCCATCACTACCAGTGACGAACGGGAATGGGAGAGTCGCTCGTAGATTTATGCAATTGTACGGTAAGAATTTTAGAACATTAGAGTCTTGGCGTTAAAGTTTTAGATTTAAGAGGTTCCGGGAATGGGAACGCGAAAAACATGACTTGCGAAATCTCTCTATTGCCGCCACATATCTTAACCACCTCACCGTATAGTAGATACAACATAATCGGGGAGTCAACTATTATACACAGCTATTGGCTGGGTACTTCGTATGTACCGACTAGTCCTATAGTTCAACAACAACTAGACTCCTGTTTATGGACAATCGACAGTAGTGCTTCCAAGCACTCCACTTTTGGACGAGAATAGTTCGTCACATACGAAACCTACACATCACTAGCTGGTGCAGCCGATGGTCATCCGCTTCACGTCGTAGGTCGGGGGGCACCGTTAGACTTTACGTCACTGGCTCCTACGGCGACCCGTTGACGATCTATCTGCAGGATGTACACCACATCCCAGAACTACACTTCAACCTCTTTTCCGTTGGTCGAGCCCTGCACATCGATCGACACCGAATTGTCTCCATCGATCCCAACGTGTGGACTCTGGCCACGTACGATGGCGAGTTCAAGGCACACTAAGCGCCGCGCTCAGGGTTGTACGTCATACCGACGCTACCCCACCTTCATGTGACACATGTCTAAGGTCGAAGTCCAAGGTACTTTCCATTTCCAAGAACAAACTCCCAAAGGAACGAGTGCGCTCTGACATCTGGGGGTCGATCAATATCCCCTCCATCTCTGAGGGTAGATACTTCGTGACATTTATTGACGATTTTACTCGATACACCTTCGTGTACATCTTGCTACGGCGTGCAGAGCTGTACGAAAAGTACAGTACTTCCTACCGGGATGTACGGACACGCTATCTATCCGACATGCTCGAGCTATGCTATCATCACTTACCATTGAGTGAGTTGGACAACGCCGCCGAATACGTCAAGCTCGGGAAGCGTATTCACCAAGAATACGGAACCCGCTCAACCTGTACGAATGTCTGCACGCCGACACAAAATCCTGGGGCTGAGCGTCATATGGGAATTATCGTCACGATCTCCCGGTCCATGCTACTGCATGGTAACCTGCCACAGGCATTACAGTATCCCATGCAGTATTCATCACGAATACCCTGCCGTCTACCACAATTAGTGGTGACGCACCATATCGTCTATGGCATCAAAGCCATCCAGACTACGCTCAACTTCGAGTATTTGCAGATGCCCATGTCAACACACCCATCCGTGCAAACAAATCGTCTCCACGAAGCTTGCTTTATATGTACAGTACATCGCCTTACCCGAGACATCTCTCGGGTTCAAGCTTCTCAACATTGACACACACTACGTGCTCACGGGCCGTGATGTCACCTTTGTTGAACATCAGTTTCCCCTTCTGAAATCAGTCGACGAAGTCAAACGACTGCGGGTTGCGCTTCTACACCGTAATTCTTTTACTGTGGATAAACCACTTCCCCAAACACAACTCCCGTTGCCAATACCTCTTGGGGGGACTGCTACAGCAACCACAGCTCTACTCTCTCTGGGGAGGCTTTATACTCTGGCTTCACGAGTCCAGTATGGCAAAATACCTGTAGTTCTCGACGTACAGGGCTTAAAAGTCACTCGTGATTCGGGAGGCTCAGCACCTTCGGGAGGCTTACCGAGTCCACGTCGAAATCGAATCAATCGACACGATAATAAGGCGGTGAATATTCCGACTCCGTAACGTCATCGATCTCTGACATTCAATTCGACGACGGAAGTATTTCCCGTCCTGTGTACCTCATTTCACGAGAAGTACAAACTACCCTACTCCGGAGTATATGAATATGACATTAACCTCCAAGCCAACATTGTCACCTACGATAATCCAGTCGCTCAAGACTCTACCTCGAACCTCATAGTCTCGAGCGCCGCAACGAACACACCAAAAAGTGTTTTATTGTCTCATCGCAGACTTCCACATTGGACACGGCGACGTCAACCTGACGGCTTCACATGAGGCGAAAATGTCGTTCGAAAGCGCAACATTGCCTCTAGGGAAGTCAGTCAAGAGCATGCGCTGGCTCTTTAAGATCAAATACGATGACTCAACCACTAAGGTTACGTGACAGGTCGCCCGCTACAAAGATCGACTTGTCATCCACGGACACACTCAGGTCCAAGCAGTCAACATTGAGGAGAATGGTGGAAATTCTGCGAATGATGCTTACTCTCGGCGCGGTCCTCAACTATTAGATCGACGCGATGGACGTCATTACAGCCTTTCTTAATGGAGAAATAGACTGTGAAGTATACGTTAAACATCCTCGCGACGTACTACGAGTACTTCGAAGCGTGTACGGCCTGAAACAGGCACCACGCTTGTGGTTCCAGAGACTAGGTACCTACTTGCGCGCGTAAAGGTACACCCAACTCGTCAAATACATGTGTCTTCACAAAGGTCATGGACGGACGATTCGTTTACATCGGCGTCAATGTCGATGACCTCGTCATCATGGCTCCCACGAAGGAGATGATGGCAACCATCAAACATTGTCTGTCGGCGCGTTTCAAAATGTACGACCTTGGCCAACTCAAGTTCATATATTGGTTGCATTTAGAATCAAATATGTTAATCCCAGATAAACGGGGTCACTGTACTAGTATGATGCACGTCATATAAAAACTTCGAACTGAAAACCAAATACGCTCAATTTCATGCGTTTTATCCCTGTAGTGGGGGGTTAAAGGTCCCAATCGCCTCCGGATATTATATACGGAGTATAGTCACATAAAAATCAAGATACATCTTAGCGGCCATGCACAATACCGCTAGGTTAAATATCTATTTATGGACCAATTCATCACCAATTTTGAATCTGATACGTAGAATTTCTTCACTACATTGAGATCTGTCGATTCTACGTCTCAATTATTATGACTAATGAATACTAGTATGAAATAGAAATTAAAAGTTGGTAGTTTATAGATGACGTGCACCATAGCACATTCAGCTTGACCGAACCCCGGAGAAACACATAACATGAACAGAGGACAATAGCAACCAGCGCAGCCATTGCACGTGGATGATGGGGAAGGCGTCACAGGAAAGCTAGACAACGGATGGCGTGTACTGGTGGCGGGGGTCGAAGAATTTGATATGCTGGGCTTCCACGACGAACGGGGTGGCGGGGCCCGAGGTCGATGGACCTAACGTGCTGGGCTTCGACGGCGATGGGGTAGGGGTGCTGGGGGACGGGGGGGCAACTCCACCTCCAATTGCGTTAGCGACGTTGATACGCCCAAACCCGTAGTTGTTGTTGGGGTACTTGGAATCCGACACCCCCCCACAGTTCTCGTTGTTTGGAGTCAACGTGGCAGTGTCTGCAGTGGTCGTGAACGCTTTGTACACTTGATCGTACTTGGCGCCCTTGTTGGCAGACAAGTAGAGTGCAATGGCACCAGCGACATGAGGAGACGCCATGGACGTGCCCGAGATGGTGTTGTAGGCCGAATTGCCAGTGTGCCATGCCGAACGAATTCGAGTTCCGGGAGCCGACACATCGGGCTTGATTCGACCGTCTGCGGTTGGCCCGCGACTGCTTTCTTTCGCCAGCTTGTCGTCGAAGCCCAGTTCACCCACCGCAATGATATTCTTGTAATCAGTTGGAGTTGTTGAGCATTTAGGACCATAGTTGCCGTTGGCAAACACGGGAATGATGTCAGCAGCGCGCCACGCGTCGATGACGCTTTGGTAAGCGGTGGTACTCACGTTGAATCCCCAGCTGTTGTTAATCACGTCAGGCGCCAACTCGCACTTGGGGTTTTTGCCGGTGACATCCGTCGGGCACAGCATCCATTGCACGCATCCCATGATCGCCGCTTCAGGGCATATGCGGTTGGTGCACCCGAGGCAAGCAATCCAAGTGGCACCCGGAGCTACCCCGATGCCGTTTTGGCCAACAGCTGAACCCGTGACGTGGGTGCCATGGCCGTCAATATCGATGGGGGTTGGGGACTTGTCGGTAGGGTCGAA